AGTGTGATTGTTTTCAGTGACATGTACAGATATTTTTGAAAACAAATCATCATTTTCTATTTTCTCCTCATGCTGGTTCATTCTAATGCTTAGTTCGTTGCCTGTTTGTCCGACGTAAATGTTAGCACAGTCTTTGCATTTTACACAATAAACAACTCCAAGTTTTCTATGATCTTTTCCTTTGTATTTGTGTGAGAAACTGCTATCCGACACTGGGAAGTAGTTTCTCACACAAATACAAAGGAAAAGATCATAGAAAAGTTGGAGTTGTTTATTGTGATACTGTGAAGTATCGAAAGCTCGCTTCTTGTGTAAAATGATTTTACAAAAATGTTTTTCAATTATTTTAAATATACTTAGTTTTATAAGAAATGTAAAAAAGTCAAAGAATGTCAATATATTTGTAATAACTGTGAATTGGTCCTATTCTTGGCAGAAGGAACGATAAATTTGGGAAAACGACCATTATACAAATTAATCCCATTTTCCGTTGCCTAAGAGTAAACTTACTAAAATATCACGCATTGTGAATCCTTTTGTTGTTATAACTGGATCAAACAATATCAGGTATGTTTTTCTTTCAAAAAAATTTAGAATGAGTTTCTGATATTATTACCTCTCTGGCTGTCGTTGCATCATGTTTTACTCGGACTTTTCTTCAAGAACATGATGCGAAGTTTACATCAATCCTACAATACCTTCAGTACTCCAAAATTTCTGTCTAAAATGGTAAAAGATATTTTTACTAAAGAACGTATACGGATTTAAAGTGACTACCCAGCAATTTTGAAGATCTAGTCCTTCGTTTACATCCTTGCGGCGTATTTCTGTCCCGATGGTAAACTATCTTCTTTACTATATTTCTAAAAAGTGAATAGTGCGCTGTCAAAGTTCAAAATCTTATGATTCTAACGTGAGCCTTACCAATAAGGTAACGTTTGCCGTATGTAAAGCAGACATTCTCGCTTGGACTTCCAGATAATGCATATCCCTGAATACTAGACTCTAATATCAGTTCGTTGCTTAGGCCAATCTCGCATCCTGTGAATGAGATGGAATGGCTTAGCCCCAATCCTCTGTGTATGAAACAGGACCGAACTGATACTCGCTACAGACTGAAAGTGACGTATGTGGACTTAGTTAATCTGCGAAAGAAATGTGTCTCAAAGGAAAATTTGTCCAAAACTTCGATAGTGTAACATTGGGACTAGCGAAAATGAAGCCTATTTATATATAAGGGGACAGAGAGCTGAATTTGCTGTGCACATCCTCTGAATTTACTATCTGACTCTCATGCTGATTTTACCTTTTCAGATAGAGATTATAGCATGACAAAAGGATTGTCTGCTCGACGAACGCATCCAAATTTGATTGCACTATGTTCTCGAACAAAAGTCCGAGTAAAACATAGTGGAATCAATCGTAGATAATAAAACGGTGACTGGAAAAATGTGAAACAAGTAACATTATCGGACACTATGAAGATACGTCCTCACCCGTCTTTTCTGTGGCGTCCGGACGTCGGCATCCCGTCCAAAAGCGGCACTTTGCCCATACCTTTTTTGCCCTTGGTCACCCATCCGAGGCCAAAAACAGACCCCACTTTTTAGCTGTCTTTTGTTTACCTGGGAGATTATAACAATCAATTTTTGTAGATAATAGATAAAGAGCCAGGAAGCCTAAAAAGACTTTAGTCTAGTTGATTTTACGCGTAATTAGTGCTTTTGTGCCATGGCTGGATTTTGTTATTATTTGTTGAAATTTAGATTACAATAAGAGTTAAAAAAAACAACAACTCCGGCCCGCTGCACATAACAGAGGAAGATGCAGATCGACTGAAAATAATTGTATTTGTAAATATGAAATCTGGTGGTCTACAAGGACAACAGGTTTTCGATGCATTAGAAGCACACATTGGCAAAGAAAATGTTTATGATCTCGTTAAAGATCACGGTCCAGAAAAAGGACTCAAACAGAACAGACATGAAAAAAATTTGCGTATTATTGGTATGTAGAATGTTCGTTGTCTTAAAACAAGTCATAGTGTAGAGCTTTACTTGAATTCATTCTCGTGCTCAAGACTATGATATTCTAAATCAGCATTATCGATTACTTATGTCAGTTTATGTTCAGCTAAAAAGCGACGGGTACGCACTATTATCATCAGAATCACAGTTCAACAAACACTATCACTATTGAAGATGCCTAGAATTAGAAAAATTTTTTATGATCCTTCTTGGGTCATCTTCGTTTTCCTGTGAATCTATGTTTTTTTAGCATGTGGAGGTGATGGTACTGTTGGATGGGTGCTTGCAGCATTGGATAAAGCGAATATGCAATATATCCATTTTGTTAGTGTTGGAATTATACCGTTAGGTACTGGCAATGATATGGTGAGAAACGCGTCAGTTTAGTCCATTCATAGTGCAATAAAGCATGCTTGCATTATATTATTTGAAGGCAAGATTTTTAGGTATGGGTAAAGGTTATCACGGAGAAAATTTACTACCAATTATTCATGCATTGGCCGAAGGGCAAATAAGACTATTAGATCGGTGGTCAGTTGATGTCCAACCAACATCATTGACAGGAGATACAAGTATTACATTACCTCAACCAGTATTCAATAATTATATCAGTTTTGGCGCTGATGCACAGATCGGTAAGAAAGTAGAAAGAAAAAATTTCTTTCTTTGACTTTACCCGAGATTAGTTTTTCTGAGTAGAGCTACTACTTTCAAAAATGATCGTAGTGGGAAATTCTCTTTTGTTTAAGGGTACTTCTTCCCTCATTTTGGGCTCTTCGTAGAAATGCTGTGAAATAAAAACTAAAACTCACTAAGACTTCATATTTTCGAAACTGACTGAAAACGCACTGGAGCACTTTTTCGTTTTTGTTTCAAGTTTTTAACTGTTGCCGTTTACCAGTTTTCTAGAAAGCTCGGTTTTTCATTGTGCAACATTATGACCCCCCTTAAATTTTATCCGATCGAGTCAAAAAAATGTTTACCACAGGTATTTAAAGTCGTAGCACAGAGGTATAACTTTGGAATTTTATTTCAGACATTTCTTTATCACGTTATAGGGTTTCTAAAATTTAAAAACTTGATTGTTGAAACTTTCGGGGTATTTTTCCCATAATTCGGTAAAGAAAGGTCTGAAATAAAATTCCAAAGTTATACCTCTGCGCTATGGCTTTGAATATCTGTGATAAACTTTTTGACTCAATCGGATAAAATTTAAGGGGGGTCATAATGTTGCATAATGAAATCGAGCTTTCTGTAAAACTGATGAACGGCAACAGTTAAAAACTTGAAACAAAAACGAAAAAGTGCTCCATTGCGTTTCCAGTCAGTTTCGAAAATATGAAGTCTTACGTGAGTTCTAGTTTTATTTTACAGCATTTCTACGAAAAGCCCAAAATAAGGAAAAGGGTACCCTTAAAGGTCCTTACCTGAAATCGAAAAGCAGAGAACCTTTTCCTCCGACACATTTTTTAAGGTTTCGAAGAACGAAAAGCTTCTGTGGAAATCCAAATGATTTAGTGGGTTTTAAACAAAGGTCTGAGGGGGAAGAGATCCATCGCGCATTTGGAGAGAAAAGGGTTTTTATTTCGATTCAGATGAGAACTTTTGAGCATAGAACGATTTCGTACAGTGGTTAGGGTTTGGGGCTTTGCGGGGATGTGCCCATAAAACTAACGGATTACGCAGATCCCTAAGGACGATTCTGCTTAGACGCATTGGTTTTTCCTTAGCATTGGATTTCCACAAACAACGTAACTCCAATCCGGCTCTCTTTGGTAATCGTATGTGCAATAAGGTCGCCTATGGTTTGATTTCAACAAAAACACTTCTTGATCGACGTTATGTATGTGGAAATATTGCTGGCGACTTTCAGTTAATTGTTGATGGTAGAAACATGACTAAAATATTGATGAAATCAAGACCAGGTTTGTAGGATAACAAATATTTCGGATCGTAAGGTGAAATGAATGAGTGTTTTTTTATGATCAGATGCTCTATTGATATTGAATATTTCTTCGTATGCTGCTGGCACCAACCCATGGAAGGTGAGTGTCACTTATGCTTTCATAATCTAGGTTTCTCGCTCATGAGTGTTATACAGGGTGTCAAACTACTGAATGCAGCTGACGAATTATTTCAATATAATGATGTGGATGATAGCGAGTTTCGAGATCCGTCGTGTTCAGATGGTTATCTAGAAATAATTGGTTTAAAACAATATGAGCTAGCCCGAATTCATGCTGGTGGTCGTGGTCTTCGAATTGCACAAGGTAAGATGGACGTGCATGTGTGGCATCACGGACGTTAATTGACCTGAAATATTAGGCATTGGAGAGGAAAGAAGGAAACAAAAGGACAGCTCAAATGGAATTTTCGAAAAAATCAGTAAAAAACGACTAAAAGTTTTCGACTGTTAAAAAACTATGTGCTAGTGTTCGGGAAATACAAACAAAATATCAGAAAAGCTTTTTTTCAGTTTTTTTATACAGTTGGGTAATGCACATCAAGGTACACAAGAAAACATCAGATTCAGTCCTTAGAAAAAAAATTTATACTTGTGAATTAGGAGAAAGGAAGAGGTTCAATAAGCCTATTTTCTCGCCCGCTTTTTTCGACAGAAACTACATTTTTATAGGTAATCCAACATTCTGAGTAACTTTCCCATCTGAGCTTTTTACTCAGATCACTTTGAATTTCTCGCATCTGGGATCGCCCCGCCACAAGGAAAATGACAAATTTATTTTTTTTTTGATTTTTCGAAAACATAGGGACATTTTCATCTTGATCCAATCTTTGCTCTGGTCACTAAAGAATAAACAAGAAAGCAAAACTAATTCAAGCATTCTGATCCTTTTTGGGTAAACATACTGCTTCCTTACAAGATTGGCTATTTTGTAAAGTTAAATACTCTTATTCTCGTCCAGGTTATTGATAACCGACGTTTCGGCTTGGTAAAGCCTTTATAAAGGTCAGGTAGAAGTAGTGAATAAAAGAATCAACATTAAAACGGATGATTGGGTTCTTTTTCTCTCAATTTCATCACAAAAGTATGGTTTTGTATCATTGATTTTAACATTGAGTTCGAACTCTTCCAACGTTTATCATCATGCATGCCACTTTTAGACAGTTAAAAATATTGATTAAGTGTGTGACGGTGGTGACAATAGTAATCATTATCGTCCTGGAACACTCAACAGTAAAATGCAATTTTCTCCATAAAATGCGATTCTTTTCTCAACACCATTATGATATTCGGAGTCAGCGTCAAATTCTGCATTTATTATCCATGTTTTCGAAAAATCTGAAGAAAAGAAATTTGTCATTTTCCTTGTGACTGGAGGGATCCCAGGTGCGAGAAATTCAAAGGGATCTGAGTAAAAGGCTCAGGTGGGAAAGTTACTCAGAATGTTAGAGTACCTATAAAAATGTAGTTTCTATTGAAAAAAGCGGGCGAGAAAACAGGCTTATTGGCCTTCTTCCTTTATTGAATTTTTGAAAACGTAACGGAATTCTCATTTTAGTTATTTTTTTTTACTTCCAACACTGTTCCCGAAATTAGATTTTAGAGGACTAAAGGGAAAAACGTGGAAGGGAGGAAAGAACTAATATTGCCAAAAAATATTGAAATCTATGCCATTCGGCTCAGTTTTCGATATTGACGACAAATATTTTGCTGCATGAAAACTGCATATTGATTGCAGAAATGGAAAATACGAATGCATTTTTGTATTTTTAACACTGCTCAAATAAACTGATTTTCTCAGTAATGAAGGAACACAGGAAAAAAGCTTAACATTCTTTTTCTTTTAGTCGTTAGAACGAACCCTTTAAAAAAAATTGTTAATTTCTAGCCCCCAGGTGTTCAGCGGATACCGCGGTCGGCTTAGATTTCAACAATCTTAAAGTAAATTTTTTATACTCAGTTTTTTCTGGAGAAGCCGAAAAGAAGCAGTTTCAGAATTGAAAGAAGTAACAAAAAAGAGAAATTGGGTAATTTTTCGAAATACCACTAAATTTCACCTAATCAGTCAATAGTTTGATATTTTTTTCGCAGAAAAATCATTTTGTAAAGATTAAAATTGATGCTTTGCTATTTAACGCTGAGCTCTGTCCAACATATAAAAAATGAAAAAAACGTTTTGCTCGATTTTTGAATTTATTGTGGAATGAAATCAAAAAAATTTTATTATTGGGAGATAAGAGCCATTCTTTACGGTAAAGATGTGGGATTCCAGATCCATCCAACTTTTCTCTTGGTTTGTCCGGTATAGATTGTGCACTACACCTCTTTCTAGCATTACGTCAATGTGTGTCGTTGTGCTATCTTCCGGTACGATACTACCATACTGCTGTGTTTTTAGGGAGTGAAATAAAATTGAAAATGTTTGCAAGTTTACCAATGGAAATAGGTAAGACCGCATGTCTTTAGACATTCATTATTTAAACGCAGTGTGTGTTGTAGACGGGGAACCGTTCGTGATTGGACCGTGTCAATTGACAATTACAAGACAAAATCAAGCTCGAATGATAATGACAAGAGATAGCAATGCGTATCGGCAACTACAGTCGAACAGAGTTTGAAATAAAGATTAAACTTTCTTTGCATCGATTTTTCAATTATCACCATCAACCATCACTCAAGTCCCATTTTATGGGGAAAGGTGATGAGCCTAAAAAATTTCCATTTCCTAGCTAAAAGTCACATTAAATAAGCTCACGTTTATCATGATATTGCGAAGATCGTTAGTGAGAACAGAAAACGAATAATATTCTCTTTTACAAATGTAAGTAAAATGAAACAGCACATAAACACATCGACTTCCTTTTTCTTTCTCTTTTCTTTGTTCTTTAATTCAAATTCGCACAGCTGATATTTGAAAACAACGAGATTCGTGATAGCTGTCAATACTCGAATCGTATCAATCATTTTAGTTAATGTCGATGTTATAGGAAAAAAGAAGAATAGTAGGTCAGAATACAGAGAATTCTTTGTACTTTTTGTCGGTATGCTCTATTAAATAAGCCATTCTGTTAGAAAAAGAATAATTTCCTCTATGACAAACATATCATTGAAAACTTGGCAAAATCCTGCATCTTTTAAGCATCGAAAGAAATTTTAAAAGCTATTCAAGAAGGCTGAAAATAATCAAGTTTACTTGTGGGTATTATATGAAGGATGCAATAACACACAGTTATTTATCGGAATCACTGTCTGTAGCAAACAAAACAATTGTCGAATAAACAAAGCCTTGACTTTGTCTTGAAAGATGAGATTGCATTCAAGACGCTTCAATATATACTAATTCCATATATAGCAAGAGACGATAATTTAAAGCAGAAAAATATTTATTCTTTTATTATTCGCAGTCTACTGTGTACTGCATGTTTC